TGATGAGTCAGTTTGTCTACATTTCTAATGGCAAGATCATGGCAACCTCTAGGATAGACGCCACCATGGCTTCACATGAACCGACCTGCAAAGTGGACACCTGTTGACCCACTGTTTCTATTCTGTCTTATGTCCCATCCGTAAGTACAGAAGCACAATTTATAGTATATATATATATATATATATATATATATATATATATATATATATATATATTTTATATAACATCCTATTGTAATATGATATACACAATTTCTGGGACTCGGCTAAACATATGTAAAGGGATAAAAATAAAACATAGTGAAGTACAGTAAAGACACAGTTAACTCTGCTCTCCAGAAATGCTCTCACAGGAATTGTAGGAGTTTAGTCCCCTGCGGTGCCTCCTCTGATTAAGGCAGGGGGGCTATCACATTCTTGACATCCTTCCACCAATTGTATGGTCCAAAATATTTTCTTGAGGGGGAGAGGGGAAATTTCATTGCCAAGCATAACTGTAACCCAACATACATGTTGCATCTCCGTCATGTGGGTGGATTGAGTTGCCTACCTGTATGCATGCCGTAAATTTTCCAGGTTTCCAGGCTTGCATTTTATTTTAAAGTAGAAAAATGTCTTCCCATTTAACACATTTGTAATTGTTTTTTAATTACTCTAACTACATATATTTATTTTTAGGGCACCTGATAGGCCCAGTCCTATGCCATTCCTTTTGCAACTACATTGGCTTTCCAGCTATTTTCTCAGCATTGGACCACCCCCGTTGTGCAACCATTCTTATGTTTTATTTTCTTGGGGTTGCACTTTTCTTTCTGATGCTTTACCCCATGACTGATCCTGTGTTGTATGGGGACATTCCAGTTTGTCACTTACTGGAAAAGGGATCTGCAGAATACCACTCAATTTGCTCTTGACAACACCAGCAAATGCAGCTTTGATTACTTCTCACAACTGAAGGGAGAAAGTACATAATTTTTACCATTTGAAAGTGTTCAAGACTTGATTAAGCTAAATGAACTTCTTTTGATTCACTGGTGAATCTCTTACCATGAGTCGTGGGGCAAACTGACAAAGATGATGGGTGCATTGAGTGTCTTTAAAATCTCAAATTTTCTACTGAATGTTTAGAAAATATCTATTCTAATATGGTCCAGCAATGTAGAGAAAGAACGTATCTTCACTATGCACTCAGTTTTTGGGTGTACTGCTGCTCTTTCAAATCAAGCTGTTTGTATTGCCGGGCATGCCTCACAGTTAAGTCGTGTATATTTTTGGAACCAAAATTTTATTCCATAGTTGTCTATTTTTGTACATATTGTGTGGACCCAGAATTAAATTATTTTCATGTTTGGTGAACACAGTGATCATTTTCTTCAGCACAGAATATGTGCAACATTCTCACTCGTATATCTACAGAAAGCTCAAAATGTATGTTCTGGTCTTCGCACATTTAATGTCTACATGACAGCATGATTTTGTTTATTCATGCTAAATGAACATTGTTACAGACACTCCATGTAACACACCTATACAATATATAAAATATTTTTTCTTCTTAATTGAAAAGCTCATAATCTTTAAGCAATATACTTTGTATTTTACCTGAGCTTTTCAATGCGAGTGCACAAAAACCTTAAGGCAGCTTTTTATATCTCTATTTTTGTAGAGTGCTAAACATTTTACTTGAACAAGCAATGTGGACCGCTGTTTGTGTTTGTTCTGGATCCACAGACGGTCACATGCTTGATATTTAGTTGTTTGGTACTGTAGGATGACACTGAGCAGTCTAGAAATTGGCATATTGAGAATTAAGTAAGCATTGAATGGCTATTTTGGTACAGTATATTATCTGGTCTGATTTTAGGTGGAGTGCTTTGTTACTAAACATAGTGAAATATGTCTACACTTATTTAATATATAGCAAGTTTGTTAATTTTATTGAGAAATAATGGCAAAATCTAGAAGCTTGAATCTTATATTTAACTTGGACTAGTGAAAAATCCTGATTCTCTACTTGTACCTTGAACACAACTCTAACATTGCTCAAGAAATTAAAAAAAAAAAAAATTAAATACAGGTGTGTTTGTGTATGTAAATATACACACACGTGTTTAAATTACTAATCATCTCCTCAATGTACATTTGCTATGGTTGGTCATATTTTGAAACCCTTAATGAATTATTTAGCAGGAGCTTTTCCATCTAAATAAAGCTGGATCTGTTCTGGACTTATGTTGGTTATGAAGTTGACCTCATGACCTTTTTCTACTCTAGGGGGATTTGTATGTTTACAATAGCATGTCTATTACACAATCTCTGGTTCTATAGTGAAGTTTAAAGAAACATACTCAGAATTTGAATGTAAGCATCAAATCCTAATATAGCCTTCAAGAAAAACAGGTACACCTGGAGTTATTACTGCTAACCTCTGACTTTTGAGATATAGATAGAATATATATATATTTATATTCTCTCTAATTTGCCAAAGCCCAACACTCAAGTATCTCACCTTTTGTTTCTCTGCCTCTGTGTTCTGTAGCCCACACACAATTGCAAATGAGATCGCACTCACATGACTTTTGTTACATCACAACACACTAGCTTTACGTGTCGGTTAAGGCCTGTGCAGTAAAAGTGTAAAACAGTTTATTGCATTTCATCAGCACCAAGGCTCCCTCGGTGCAGCTTAGCTCTCCGTCTCTCACGACTGTTAAATTTAAGGCTCCTAAGCTCCTCCTAGAGGAGCATTGGGGATTTAATGCACATTTGCGGCTTCCCCATAGGAAAGCATCTAGTCATTGCTCTTCTATGAGGGCTTCTGCGTTGTGTGACAGTTTTTTACTGTCAGCCTGTCACTGTGGAATCACCTCTAGTGACGGTCGTATTGACAGCTGCAAGAGGTGTACTTAACCCTGCAATGTAAACACCGCCGTATAAAAAATAAAATTAAAGGCAATGTTTTACATTGCAGGGTAAAAAAAGGGAGGGTTACTGTATCCAGAGATTCAGATGAAGTGGTCTGGGTAACTATAGTGTCCCTTTAGGTGGGCAGAAATGTGGACACTTTGTTTTAGCTATTGTGTTGCTATGTAACGATAAAAAAAAAATTGTACTGTTTGAAACATCCTCTCATTTGCCACTATAAAAATACAATTATTTATTTAGTATTTGTAGAGGGGGGGGGGATGAGGTGACATTTACTTGCCTGTGAACTATGTAAACTAACTTCTGAATTTATTTGCATCAAATTGTTTCAAATGCTCCCAAAATAGCCCTCAATAGCTCAGGAGATAATTAACCAAATAAGTAAAAATGTCCCTTTTAGCTATGCAAACAGCTAGCAGATACAAAGCTTAAAAAGAGGTGGGTGGGAGTTTCCTCTAACTGTAGACATACGTATGATGGTTAATATTCTTAATGGAAGTAGCAGCAGCTGCTCACATTTTCACCCATGGTTAGACCATTTGTAACAGTATGTTTGTTGGGGGCGGTGTTCAGCAGATCTACTAATATTGTCCAGCCCAACCTCATCACCCATATACAGTAGGTTAAGAACTAAAACTATTAGGAGTCCAGGGCTCCTTCCATCCACTATATAGATGGGATCTACTTAAAGAGCAGCAGTCTCTCTTTACTTTTTTTTTTTTTTTTTAGTGCTGTATATTGATATTTTTGAGAGAGTCCTTATTTTAAATCTGGTTTAGCAGCTAGGTTTGGTCTCTTGTTACTTGACCAATTGCTTTTCAACCTAACTTGACTGCTGTTGTGACATCAGTCAGATAAAAATGTGAAATTCAAGGAAAACAAAACACGACACCGCATAAAACAATATATAATGAATTTTGAAAACTGTCAGACATCAGGGAGATGAATCCGTCCCTTGGAAAATTTGAGACAACTTAAATTTGTAAATGTCTGCATTCCACATGTACATTCCAGATGTATATTCTACCACTTTTCAGGTTTCAGGGATTTTTTTTTTTTTCCTCTTATAAGCAGACAGTGAATTCTTCTGCTTCCCGACTACAATTTGGAGAAAATCCCTCAGTTGTAATTTCAGGTATTATTCTGTTAGGCACATGATAGCAATACGCAAACAGAAATAGAAACCCTATAAATCTCTGCAATTGCTAATTGTCTACGTGAGTATATAGCGAATAACAACTTTGTTTCCTGTGCTGTGTTCTGTATTCATTATTCTGTCAAATTGTTTAAAATATACCCTATGTGCACAAAGTTCACTTGTTAATTCTGTTAGTTTGTTAATACTGCTGTATACTTTTAAGTTTACATAGGGTATTTTGTTTCTTTTAATAATTCCTTAAATAAATTAATTTAACTTTGGAAAATTCTAATCCTGAAATGAAACCTTTTTTATGGTACAGTAGAGGAGATATAAATTGTCATGTCCATACACTGGTATGTCTACTATATGCAATTAGTTACAATTTTATATTGAGGAAGATAATTGTTCTTTGGTTTATAATTTGACTAACTGGCAGAGTGGGAATAAAATAAAAAAGCAAATTGTTTTCTACTGCAATGTATGGCCAAACCTAACTTTCAATACCGCATTCTAGTTATTTCCAAAAGCATAATTTACGGTGTGTAGATTTAAACTTCTTTCTATTTCCCTTGAATTCTTTAAGAAGTGAAAAAGCAAATGAGTCACATATCTATAGGGCATTTCAGCTCAGTGTTTTACATCTTAAAAGGATAACTAATTGAACTATATTTTCATATCTTTGTAGTATAATATACTGTATCAACCTTTTTATTAATGTACTTAATTTGTGTTTTGGGAGATATTTTAATTTTTATATTTTTAATTTTTTTTAAATATCACTTTGCTACTTTTACACTTGCCCTGACAGCCATTTTATGCACTTTGGGTCAAACTGTCTCTTATGACGGCTAATGCTCATTCTCCAAAAGTCCTATTAAGAGATGGTACATAGAGATTAAAGGATAACTGTCATTTGAAAATGTTGAATATCTTAATATAATCTTTCCCAAGGGGCATTTTATGACTGGTTATGCAGAATAAAGTAATGCGTAGTTTAAAATGAAACTTGTTATTTAGATGGAGTATGGGTAAAACTGAAACCGTGAAAGACTGTCTTAAAAAAAAAAAAAAAAAAAAAAAATTTTTAATCTTTTGGTGCTTATTGCTTACACTGGAATGCTGCTGAGAATGGGTATATACAGAAGAAAAGATCTCTAATATATTTTGAAAGCTAATATTTATAGATTTTCAAAACAAGCAGGTTTCTCATTACAAAGTAGAAACCAAATTGCAAAATGTATAACAATACATTCTGTATGGGGGGCAGGGGAGATGGAGGTGTTTATAAGAAATGAGGAGAATGACGACAAAGAATGTCTGTAAATGTTGATTGCTAAAATGTTGTTTTTGTGAAATAAAAACTTTATCTCCAGTTTGTTTTAAATTTTACTTCTATTTAAATGTGTGTAATTCTTGATATCTAAAGCTATGTTTTACGTTTTTACAAACATGCAATTGCATGTTGAAAAATCCTATCAGACACAGCATAAGTAATGTGTGTCTGTTCTGCATCCTCCATGCATAATCGCAGCAATACAACGAAGTCAGCAGAGAGAATTGGGTTGCAGTGTTGAGCCCCCATTTAAGAGAAAAACCACAAACCCTTATCTCTATAAATAATGATCACGTGTGACAGAATGTTTGTAAATGAAGGGGCTGCGGCTGTAAACATGATCTGCACCTCTGGTGGGTGCAGGCCTCATTAATTGCTCCCGGCACTGTCAGCGTGAAGGCTGGAAACTTCAATGGCAGTTCTGCACAGGAGCAGTAGTCTCCCCCACAAGAGGTGCATGCCACACACTCCCACACTTGACTGCCAGGGTTGATAGCCTCTCCCTGCAGAAAGCTAACTGAGCAATGTGCCTTGCTTATGCCACCTAATATTACTCTTAAAAGGTGTATGGTGTTAAATCCATCTAAATTGCTTCACCTGGATATGCTACTCTAACTGATCTGTTTTAAATCCATCCAAGTACACTGGTAAGTAGCTTGGAATTCCACTGCAATGGTCCTAAGTGTAAATACACTTTGTTTTGTACAGTTTGTCTTGTGTAAGGAAGTAATTAACCCTTACAAGTTTTAAGATGGGTAGCTCTGAAAGTACCCAAGGGGGATTACGGGAACAGGCTACAGCATTAACTACTCGGGTATTATACAATGCTAAGCCTGGGACTCCTACCAAGGTGTACGCTAGGGCAGAGTATTCGGCTTTAGATAAGAGAATTTATGCCACCTATTGTTACTCTTAAAAGGTGTATGGTGTTAAATCCATCTACATTGCTTCCCCTGGATATGCTACTCTAACTGATCTGTTTTAAATCCATCCAAGTACACTGGTAAGTAGCTTGGAATCAGTTAGAGTAGCATATACGAACACAGCATAAAATGGTAAAGGATAAGAACAGCTTCATGTCGGTGGATCAGTCGGAGTGACTTGTTTACGGTGACTGGCGTGTATCCACGTGGCTTTTCCTTCTAGTTACACCGAGGTAGCCGTAGTCAAGAGCAGTTGGAATGGACCGTCAAAGCGTGGTTCAAGTCCTTTCCTCACATGCCTCTTTATCACCAGGCTGCAGTTTGTGAGTTGCAGAATCAGAGTCTGGATCTGGAATAGAATCAAAGACTTGTTTATGCACCCTGCCTAATCTTTGGTGTAGGGCCTGAACATAGGCAGTCATACTACCATGCTGCATCTGGAGGGTTTGGGGAAAATAGAAGCCTGTCTTTGGGGCACATCCAAACAGGATCTCAAAAGGGGATAGGCCATGTCTGGAATTGGGGGTGAATCTCATAGAAAAGAGTGCTAGGGGAAGGCATTCAGTCCAGGGCTTCCCTGTGTCTTGCATGGCTTTTGCAATCCTGTTCTTTAAGGTGCCATTTGCCCTTTTTACTTTCCCACTACTCTGGGGGTGATAGGGAGTGTGGAAGGCCTGACTGATCCCTAAGGCTTTCATAATTTCTTGCATTATTTCCCCAGTGAAATGGCTACCTCTGTCACTTTCAATCACTTTAGGTACTCCATATCTACATACCAGTTCCTTCAGAAGCTTACTTGCTGTGACCTTCGTTGTGGCTTTCAACACTGGGTAGGCCTCAGGCCAACCTGAAAAGAGATTAATGCACACCAACACATATTCATACACTCCTAGTTTAGGTAGTTGAATATAGTCTATCTGCAGTCTTTGAAATGGGTAAAGTGGCCTTGGTGTGTGCTTACTTGGTGTTTTGACAGCCTCTCCTGGATTGTTTCTAGCACAAATCATGCAAGCTTGGGTGTGTTTAGCTGCTACAACAGTAAATCCGGGTGCTACCCAATGGGTGTTTACTATGCTGTTCATGTGCATCTTGGATAGATGTGTAGGTCCATGGGCAATCTGGGCCATCATGGGGTACAACACTCGTAGCAAACACAGTCTTTTACCTATCCTCTACATTCTGTCATCATTGGGTTCTGCATCTTGTTCCCTCCAGAGGTCATGTTCTTCCTTGCTTGCTTGTCTTTGTAAACTCAACAGTATATTGTAGTCAACGGCGTCATCTGTAAGAACAACTTGTAGGAAGGTATTACCTGTAGAGGGATGAACTTGAATTGCTGCTTGCTTGGCAGCTTCGTCTGCTTTGTGGTTTCCTCTTGAGATTTCATTTGTGATCTTCACGTGAGCTGCCACCTTGATGATGCCTTCTTGAGTGGGTAGCAGGATAGCGTCCATAAGTGCACTCAGGGCTTCAGAGTTCTTGATTGGAGTTCCTGCTGAGGTGAGAAAATCACGAGCCCGCCATATAGGGCCAAAATCATGGGCTATACCAAAAGCATAGCGAGAGTCTGTATAAATATTAGCAGTCTTACAAGAAGCCATTTTACACGCTTCAGCAAGTGCCTTCAGCTCTGCCTCCTGTGCAGAGCAGTGAGGAGCGAGTGGTTCAGCTTTTATTACCTCATGTGCAGAAACTACAGCATATCCAGTGTGGAAATTACCCTTCTCATCAGCATATCTGGAACCATCTGCAAAAAACTCAATCTGCATTAGATAATGGAGAATCAATTACATGCAAAAAACCTGCTGTTTCTTGTGCCATTAGTGCTGCACAATCATGGGGTACCTGGGCATCCGCTAACTCATCTGGTGAAAGTGAATTTACAAAAAGATCAGAAGTACAAGTACCATTCCCACTATCCCCACTCCCGCTTTTAAATCCAGGGGAGGCAATGTAGATGGATTTAACACCATACACATTTTAAGAGTGACATTAGGTGGCATAAGCAAGGCACATTGCATTCTGAGATGCCTTGCAGTATGTATGTGTTTTGGTTGCACTTGTGAGAGTATGCTGTTGATATGCGGTGTGTGTATATGGTCACCGGATTATCTAAAACAATATCAGTGGCTTTGTCCAGGAGGGCAGTAACAGCTGCCACTGCCCTAACACATGAGGGGGCACCCCTGACAACAGGGTCCAATCTGGTGGAGTAGTAAGCTATTGGTCTTTGTTTACCACCATGGTCCTGTGTAAGGACATGATTGCTCAGTACAGAACAGGTTAAAATTATTTCTGTAATCTGGGAGACCCAGTGCCGGGGCTGACGTTACGAGTAACTTAAGGGTATAGAAGGCATTTTCTGCCGCATGGGTTAATTTAAATGGTTTGTTTTCGTTGGCAAGACAATCATACAGTGGTTGCATGTAGATAGCTACGGAACGCAGCCAAGGAAGGCAGTAAGATATCAAACCGAGGAATGTACGAACCTGGGCTAGACTGCGCGGGGGGGGGGAGTGGTTAATATTTTGAACTGCAGTCTTTCTACTTTCCGTGAGATGTTTTATGCCCTGGGAAATGCAATGTCCTAGGAAAATAACTTTCTCTACACATGCTTGCAGTTTTGTTTTTGCCTGCTTTTGCCAGGAATTTCAGCAAGGAAAGAGTGTTTACAATACAAGATTCCATATTATCGCAATATGTCTGTAATGTATTTGCTCAGTTAGCACACCTATAGGGGGGAGACCGATAAGGGAAAAACTATGGTGGAGAAATCAGAGGGTGAAATACTCAAGGTTATTTATTAGACTCTGTTTGTTTTTCACAAATTAAATCTTAATGTGAAATGCCTTAAAGTCACTATAGGCAATCTGGAAATTTTTCCAGATCATTTATATTTTTTTATCTCTATGTTCTATGTTTCTAGCAGAAAATGGAATAATGAAGATTATACATATACACACATATAATCCTAGACCTATCTATACACACACACGTTGGTCCTTCCTTGCTTGCTTGTCTTTGTAAACTCAACAGTATATTGTAGTCAACGGCGTCATCTGTAAGAACAACTTGTAGGAAGGTATATATATATAGATTTGTCTGATTATATATGTGTAGCCCCTTAGTGACCAGTCCGTTTTTCAATTTTCTTACCGTTAAGGACCAGAGCTCTTTTTACATTTCTGTGGTGTTTGTGTTTAGCTTTAACTTTCCCCTTACTCATTTACTGTACCCACACATATTGTATACCGTTGTACTCGCCATTAAATGATCTTTCTAAAGATAACATTAATTAATTGATACATTTTTTTTTTTTTGACACACATAGCAATTTAAGAATACATGTACTGAGAACTTTAATTGTTACTGCCAAGGAACACCCCAATATGTGTTCAGCAACATCTCCTGAGTATAGTGATACCACCCATGTATAGGTGTGTTGGGTTCTGTGGGAGCTAAAAGACCGTATTTGGAGGGTGCACATTCCTGTTTTCCAACTTGGAATTTTCTCAGCTGGTCATCATGCACCCGTGTCCTATTTGGGACATTTTTGAAGCTGGCCAATGTAATTTATCCCCATCAAACCATATGTTTTTGAAAAGTAGACAACCCAGGGTATTCAATATGGGGGTATGTCCAGTCTTTTTTAGTAGCTACTTGGTCACAAACACTGGCCAAAGTTAGCATATATATGTGTTTAAAAATGCAAAAAACTATTATGAACACTAACTTTGGCCAGTGTTTGTGACTAAGTGGATACTAAAAAAGACTGAACATGTCTTCTTTTGCAAATGGTATGCCATCATGGGGTAATTCTCATTCCTGGGCTACCATATGCTCTCAAAGGCAACATAACCAACCTGGATAATTTTTGTGTGTAAAAACTGCCTTATATTTGCCCCTATAAACTTTCAAAAACACTATAAAACCTGTACATGGTTGTACTGCTATACTCGGGAAACTTCGCTGAACACATATTAGTGTTTCAAAACCGTAAAACCTATCATCAGTGAAAATGCTGTTTGTGTGAGAAAAATGTAAAAAACTTCACTTTCACTGACAATATCACTATGATATGTTTTACTGCTTTGAAACACTAATATTTTCTTTTCAATGAAGTCTACCG